ATACATTTATAAATGGTAGTTCGCTAGGATCCTCTCATGCTTCCTAGAGATGGAGGTTCGAAACCTTCTCATGACTGAAAGGAAAAGTCCAATACTCAACCTCGAATACGACTTATATGTTATCTTTTTATATTATAACAATTAATTTATGATGTTGTATAGAGCGCTCGTCCACACACACACACACACATATTAATAGAATGTATAATGTATGGCTTTTTTATTGTAGCTTTTTTTTACTACTCAATGTCTCACGATTAACTGTGGATTATAATAGTAAATTTTTTAAAAAAATTAATTTGATCCTTAATTATTATTTTTTACATTATTAAACTTAAATTAGAGTCTAATTGTGTATTTTTTTTTAGGGGTGGAGGTTGAATTAAAAGAAAGAGGGCTTAAATGAAAAACATGTGTAACATAAATGGTAGCTCTATAATTTATTTTAAAAGTTTATTTTAAAAGTTTTATTTTAAAACTTGTTCCTTATAGTTTTTTAAACATTACATTATGGTACCATACCTTTTCTTTTATTTTAGTTATTTTTTAATGGGGGGAAGAGAGGGGGTCACTGAATTATAGCTTAAATAGAGAGAGATTTTATTAGCAATGATTTCAACTATTAAAATAGTTGATTTTTGTATCAAATAGTTTCATTTAATAAAGGGAGTTAAGATTAAGTATTTTTTTACCTTGGAAAAAACTTTAAAAAACATATCTAAGCTCTGAAAGTTTTTTTATTTTAAGTTGATTATGAGTTTTTGAGTGGTTTTTATATTTTTTTGAGGCCATTAATAGGCTAAATAAGATTTCAAGGGTGCTTCCTAAGTTTTTTAAGTAAAAATAGATTAACAAACAACACTTTTTTTTTCTAAAGACCATAATGGCTGAATTATGGACAATTATAGATGATGCATTATCTTTTTTTTTTTGGATGAAAAATAGGATAGACAGCTCATCGTTCACCCCTATTAACTTAAAAAATAATAATTAAAGGTATGTACACAGACCCTTTCTTTATGGGTCAGGTGCTAAGTCTGGCTTACCAGGCTCACAACGCTTGACCTCATTATTTTCTTTTCTTTGTTTTTTATTATTCTCTTTTTAAAAAATTACTATTTTTTATATGTATTTTTAAAAGTAATTTTAGCATTTATGTTTTGATTAATACCTCTTTTCTGTGATTTTTTTTGACTTATCTAGCTTTTTTGAAATATTAATTATTTAAGTATATTGAGTGTATGTCGTTTTTTTATAAAGTTGGTATGATTCATCTATAAATTTTTATATTTTATATAAATTAAGCTTATTTAAAAAAATTATTTCTTTACAATATTTTTAATATGTGCAGCTCTATATAAAATGTTTTTCTTTTATTTTATTTAATAAATTTTATATGTATGTTGATTTTTATTACAGATTGATTTTCATAAATATATTCATTAAACACAATTGGGTAAATAACTTGTATTGTGATATTAAATATCTTGATATATATTTATCACTTTATTTTTTTAATTATATTTTTATTTATCATTGATGGATGGTTTTTAATTTATTTACAAAATAGTTTGTAGTTTATATAATTAGATGCGTTTATAAGTTTTTTTATTTACATATATGATTTTTTTTTATGTAAATATACATGTTCAATTTTATTTCATCATTTATTGGTGTTTTCAATTTGATTCTTATTTTTTCAAATTTTTTCTTGATCTTTTTATAAAAGTTTATTATTTTTAATTTAACCTTTCAATCAAAGTTGATTGTGTTTTTTTTATCCTTATTCTTTTGATTTTTTTGTTAATGTTTTTATTTTTTCAATTTAACTCTAAAATTAAAAAATTATTGTTTCCTTTTGATTTATTTTTTTTACAATTTTAACCGTTATTCTTTTAATTGCAATTTATTTTTTAGATTTTGTCATTTTTCTTTTCAAGTCATCCTACAATGTTTCTTTTTCTAGTAATGGAGTTTCATGATATTTTTTAATATATAGTGTTTCTAATATGATGACCAAAATCATGAGTTTAAAATATTAACTAAGGTTCACATCTTTTTTTTTTTATATCATAACTTCTGTTGTTTTATACACACACATCTTGTTTGCCATCGATTTTTTTTTCTTCATATGAATAAAATAAAATCAATTTACATAGTCGATTGGAACTATAATCTGAATAATTGAATATATTTAAAATATATATATATATATATATATATATTTTTTATTTACGTGGGGTGTCCGGGCCAGCTTACGCGCACCACGACTAATCCCCACGGCCCACTGAACATCCTGCAAGCCCAGTGAGCAGGTAAGGCACCGCGGGGGTGACAGGCATGCATGGTAAGGTTCGAACCCAGGTGCAGAGAAAGGGGACAAGCTCCTCCCACCGCTAGGCCAGAACCTCACTTGCAAAAAATATATTTTTTACAACTCTTATAACTGTAACATAGCGCTGGCTCCAGTTTATTGAACATATATGAGACCTGATGATTTGAGGAAAGTGAAAATTTGGCATCACCTAGAGTAGGAGTTTTTGTAAAGATTATGATGGGTACAGCTACCAGCTCGCCACGTGTGTTTGTGTTAGTGGGATTGAAGGGATGGCATGGTTCCGCCCCTTTTCCTTTTATTTTCGGATAAACAGTCCCTCCCAGGGAATTTTACAGAGAAAGATTGAACACGTGAAGGAACAGAGGGAGTGGCTGATAAAGTTAGTATCAGGGAGTTCATGACCGGTTCCGTTCGGTTTCAACTTTAAAATTAAAAAATAATATTTTTAAGTAACATGATCTGAATTAAACTGAAAATCAATTCAAATCAAACTAGTTTTATATGACTCAGATCGGTTTTTTAGCATTAAAAACTAGAAACGAGCTTGCTACCATTGTACCAAAGCCCTCTTAACTCATTTCTCACATAGCTTGCGCATATCAGCAGGTAGGATGATTAAATGAAAGGAGAACTTGATTTATTATCTCTGACATTAGATAATACTTTCACTTTGAGGATGAACCAAAGTTGAGAGATACTTGTATTTGTAGAGCACACGGAGCCATTACAACTATCATTGTCGGTAGTTAATGATAAGAATGAAATGAAGGTTGTGACAGGCCATATGGGAGACCACACAGTGATTGTAGGACAAGGTGGGGGGAGGTGTGGTGTCAAAACTCAAAAGAAGACTTTAATGTTAGGTTAATTCTTAATATGAGAGAAAATGAGAAAAAAACAGCTTAGGGGAGAGAGGGGCAGCTGTACAATGATATAATGATATAGGATTAAAAATGTTTCTGTTTATATATATATATATATATTTTAAATTATTTAGATTCAATTAAACTTACTGAACCGGATTTAATAATTCTTTTAATAAGTTTATTTAATTTTTTTATATTTTTATATTTTTAATTAATTTTTTCTTGGTTTTTTCAATTTAACCAGTTGATTGATTTTTTTTTAAAATACCCTTAGCATGATATTTATGATATTGAAATAGTAGTTTTTTAAAATATTTTTTATATAAAAATGTATTATAATAATATATTTTTATTTTTTAAAATTAACTTTTAACATTTATATATTAAAAAAAATCCAAAAACCTAAAACCAAATAATTTAAAAAAATACATTTGCAATTTTTAAAAATACACGGCCTTAATAGGGAGGTTCCAATGTCAGGGTCACAAGAGATATACGGGTATTCTAACTTTTTAGGGACCTATGTCAGGGTCACAAGAGATATATCATATACGGGTATTCTAACTTTTTAGGGACCCCAACTAGGAGGGAAAAAAATAAAATAAAAAAAACCTAGGCTAACCTTGTTAGAAGCTGAAACACTGCCGTGCAGTCAATTGCAGATGCATCTCATATGCAAGAACAGGCAAGCTGATTTCAAGTGGTCTCTGCTAAAGCAATTGTTCTTAGCATTGCTCACAGTAGTCAAGTTCACAAATCCCCTCGAAGGGGGAGTGCACGACGCTTCTTACCATCTTGGAACAAGCATGAAGGATTTTGATGGCTGCACAGCCCTACCGGAAAAACTTGTGGTAAAAGGAAACTGTGAACGTCTTATTCAACGAACTGTAAAACTGATTTGGCACAAGGAAAACAAGTGGGTAAAAAATACATTCCACTTGAACAGATTAAAAGGTGATCTCAGGATTCAAATTCAAACAGTGAGACTCAGAAAGGAGGTGAAACTGAACAGACGTTAGTACATTTTCTGCCCTTTCACAAATATCAGAGAAATACCCATTGATACAGCAGCATTACACCAATTGGATGCTCTTTGCTTGTTTAAATAAGGATCCGTCATTGGTTTAAGAACAGACAAATCTGACCAGGCATTGTAAGGATACAAACCAGGGAAAAAAAAATCTTTATACAAGATTATATACAACACATTCTGATCTTAACATTGCTCAGTAAATTCATAGTGAGAATTGTCAGCACAGTCCGTTCTTTAACAAATTTTGGTATCTACAAAGTGACGGGAAAAAATAGCAAAATAACCCGACGTACCTATACTTTCCATTAGCAGATAATCTAGTATGTTTCCTCAAATGACCTGCAGATAAGGCATGCAAAATTACGAAAGAGAAAAGATCTTATGATTCAGCAGATGTTACCATGACAGGCACTGAGGTAATTTTTGGATTGCAGACATGTCGTCACCATTTTCTTCCCACAACCATGGATGATGGAGCATTTCAAACCCATTTTCTTTTAGCACTCTGCTAAATGCCCTTCAAAAGGACCTCACCCTAATCAGATTTGGATGTATCTACATAATCCACCCTTGCATATCATATTTCAGACTCAAATGCATAGCACTAACTCCAGATCCATTTACTCTAATGGTCTTGGGATCTCAAAATGCCAACTCGGGGGATTCTTACTAATAAGGCATGCAAGTGAATTGAATACCCACAGATAATATCAGTTCCTCCGAATTTAATGAATCCAGAACCAGACACTTAGAAATCACATAGTTGTGCTCAATCACACTTTTTCTAGCTATTATCATCTCTCGAGGAAATTGTACAGAAGGGATCTTGTGAGAAAGCAAGATACATATTATCAAAAAAAGAAATATCATTATCAAGGAAGCACTGTTATGTATTGCAAATAAGCAATATGTAAACATTGAGGAGAAACATTTAATAAGTCACTTTTATGGTTGATGGTGTAAGTACTTGTGGACAGCCTGCCCACAATCATCCTGTCTTAGCAACTACAACCTCTCGAACCACACACTAACTTCAGATAGGGCACATCAAAGGTTAGAGGAAAGAGAGTAAGTCCAATCATCAAGACCTAATTGAATGTGTAAATGATCCAAGGACATGAAAGTACAAACAAATGTAAAAGAACAATAATTGGTAAGAAAAACTGGAAAATTAAATCTGCACATAGAAAATCCATAACATTGATGAAATTGAATGATATAAATTGTAAAACGCTTTGATCAGTTTAATAAACAAGCTAGGTTCAATTGCCTCTATAATTCCTTAACTCAAAAGGGTAAAAAGAAAAAGAAAGCCTTCTCAGCAAAACTGCCTCCATAAGATTGGAGATCCCTAAAGTGAGATAGTGAAGGTCATCCATAGTGTTCTCTAAAAATATTTTCTTAAATGAGAACTTTTGAGTTCAGCAATATTTAGACTAGCATGCAAGCAGCCAATGATTCACTGATGTAGTCCACAAATTCTAAGGATAGCCCTATACAAGTAATGACATCAACCGAGAGAAAAACAATTATTATTGTAAAAGCCAACACAAATTCAAGCAACATAATTTTAATATAAATACCAGTCACCACAGTGAGAAGAATTTAGTGGGGAAATTAAAGAGCATCATATGCATAGTAAAAGTGTAGGTTGAAGAATGGTTTCTAAATTGTGAAAGACTTGATTCTATCCTTATGTTTATTGAGTCACTATAGAGTTCTCAATTTTTAAGAAAAATCTATTTCAGTCTCTCATTCAACTTTTTTAAGTTCTTCCATGTATGCACTACTTAGACTTCCCACCCACATGGAAAATCACAAATAGTTTTTTCAATCAGATTTAGCACAATTGAGAAAAATAAAACAAAAATCTTGCAAGACTATAGAAGTTCAATTTTTTTTCTTTCCATGGCATTCAATAATAATTGATGGCCATACATGGCATTCAAAAAAAAAAAAAAAACAATTCCCTGCTTATCAACCATTATTCATCCTTGAACAGATGTTTTAAGATATGTGAGTTAAACAACAGTCAAACAATGATCTCAAAGGATATATAACTATGCTTGATGAATGAACTATGAAGCCTCAAAACAATGTTTCAGGAATATAGAGGCATGTAGAAAGGAATACCCTAGAAGTTGAAGGTCCAGAGTTCTTATTTCATACTGCTAGCCTAGATAGAATTTCAATATTTTCATACCAAGGATGAACTGACACAAAGTATAGTAGCACATGTAGATGAGCACAAATTAAGATAGCAAACAAGAGTTTTGCAAAATTATATTTCACAAGATAAAATTCACGTGCACACCCTTATAAGTTTGACTGCAACTTCAACTGTACGGTAAAATGAAACAGAGACATTCACTACAACTACCTTTTGGGAAAATTAGATAGAGCACCCCGTGAAGTTGTCAGCTGAGAGGAGAAAAGAAAGGGTCCAAACACTGAGAGCTGACCCAAGGACGAGACAAATGCTAGTTTATTCTATAATATAGTTAAATATATCAAATACTCAGAAAAAAAAAAGAAAAAAAAGAGAATGTGCATTCTAAATCAGAGGCCAAATTTCACAAAAAAGATAAACTAAAAGAGGAAGGAGCTATATTCAAGCTAGTAAGGAAAAAGAAGCTCTTTTATTCCTTGTTACCAAATCTCTTTGCAATTATGGGCCGGACATCATCAGCATCAACCAGGGTCTCTAAGAAGGGTAGTAATGAAATTAGTGCACAATCTGATGGATCACTAAACCAGCTCTTAATAGGAATCCCATTATTTACTTGCAACCTGAAAACCTGAAATCACCAAAAGAACAGCAGTTAATCAAGAGTAAATTTAATAAGAAGATTTTTCTTTGTTCATGCCATTTTGACACCCAGAATCCTTCTCTCTAGGAGGAGGCAACTACACAACATTTCCCATCTCACTAGCATTGATAAAAAAAGGACGGACCTCGTGTTCCATCGCTTTTCACTTTTGAGGTTATGACTTCTACTGCCCTCTCCATGCTAGAGCCCAGACCTAAGATAAGAACTTTGGTGTGTTCTACTTCTACAGTTAATGTACAAGTATTGCTGAGATAATTTTTATGTGAGCATAAAAGGCAAAGCAAGACCCCAAAAATTTGAAACATAAAAACCCCGGGTCTTATTGTTGAAGATCAGACTCAGTACAAGTACATTTAACAATAATTTGGTGCCCAACTAAAATTATCACACAACACAAACCCATTTACCAAGACAGCAATCATAAGCGAGTATGATTAACTTCTCGCAGCTCGTACAGCAAGAAAATTGTACAAATGAGAAAAGATGGGGGAGGAAGGGAAGGGGAATAGCAAAGTGCAAAACCATCGATGCAAAATAGCTAGGTAAATACCTGTGGAGAATTATCAATTATGGCAACTTTGGCAAGATCAACACCTAAAACTGTCAAATCTTTTGTGTAACTTCCATCTGAAAAAATGCACGATTCACGATAAAACCGCCTAGATATAAGCTTTCTATCAGGATCCAGCATGTCTAAAAGCTGTGCTGCATAGATGCTCTGGCTAGCTGTGAAGATAACAACTTCAAACATCTCTGCAACTCTCTCCAAGAAAGTGTGGACGTGAGGCCTCTGTTTTACATACACTCTGTGCTCTTTCATATTGAAAAACACAGTAAAGGTGAAGTCCACATCATCGCAATGTTCCAATGTTGAGTGGACAAGTGTTTCTGAGAACAGAAAAGCCATCTGTGACTCAACCTTCGTATTATACTAGGGACACATTTCTTCAATTAAATTAATTATAGAGAAAATGATGCTGATATAGCACGATTATGACCAAAAAGTTTATGAGAGAATTTATGAGAATTTCAAACCAACCAACCTATCAATATCTTCTTTTCAATGGTGGTCATTCAAAATAGTTTTTATACTTTGGATAAAGCAAAAGCACAAGTAAAAGAGTCAGGCTCGAACTAAACAAAAGCAATTGGTAAAATTTACATTTATTAGAAACACATAAAGCACCATATTTGGACCCAATGACCTATCCACTAACTTATCTCAGTTGTTATGATTGAAATAGTGTTGTCAGAAGGCAGCAGTATCAGTAGAAGAGCTGAAGAATCAAACTCTAAAATATGAAAGGACAAGGAATATTGCATGGACTGGCAACATGTAAAGAAAGACATAAATAACATAATTTTTTTACCATCCAAATCAAGCACCAAGGTTATGGACTTTCTTCTGCAAGGCTCCTTCGGGCTGATAGAGGGCCGGAAATTTGAAACCACATCAGATAATTCCGGCAAATTTCTGATAAAGAACTGAGGATCAAAGTCTTCAGATTGGTCTGAGTCAGTCATTAGATCAGATTCCTGGTCACAAGTTCTTATCTGATTAATTGCTAGATACAAACCACTGTTATCTGAATCTATCATGGCTTCTTCACTTGATTTCATATCATTGGAGTCGCTCACTTTGGCAGTATCCTTGAGAAAAGGTAGTATCATGCACTCCTCAGCCACATCAAACAACATACTTGGCTCAGCGCACTTGTAATCAAGAAAAGGATTCACATCGGTGAAATCATTGACAACAGCACTCTCACCAAATGGTAAGCTAGCAATAATCATGTCAGAAATAAAGAAATCTGATATGTTGCAAGTTTGATAATCACATGAACTTCTATTATAATCACTGTCATCAGGACCCAAACCTGGCACGTAAAGATCGTTGTTATTCCCTACAATATAATTCAGAGAAAGATTATCACACTGGATATCGTCATATAAAAATCACCAACAATGAGTAGTTCCAATGCAAAACTCTTTGGAGATCTCCATTAAAATTCTAGCTTTACCACGACATCAAGTAATAATCAGTGTCGATTTTATGTTAGATCCTTGCAAAGCTAGATACCAAGGCAAAAAATGGAACTGTTACAGATGTCCAATGTAACTCTTGCTTCTACCATCCAGCAAATGCTTTGAAGGTCCTGTAAATGTCCTTGATTGCCTTGTTTTCAACTCACCAACACTCTTTGACAAAATTTTTACAATACCACGTATAACAATAGATTGTCTCATTACGATAACATAAACAAGAGACAAACAAAAAATCATTCATTTGTATATGATTGGCTGTCATGCAGGCAACTAAACAGGAAAAATTTAGCGCAGGTATTGTAGGAACATGACTTTCTTCCATTTCTTTAGCAGTGAAGGCATATTGATGACTAGTTTTTTTATGCATTTAGATGCAGAAGCATGAGCTCTACCTGCACCATCACTGATATTTGGCACACTGAGGACTTCAATGGGCTCCAGAACAGGAGAAAAAATTGTCTCCACGTTTGATGCAAAGTTATAAATAGATTCCTGCATTAAATGAGCTGTCATGAGAAACCATCCAAAAGAAACTAACTAAAACACAGTGATTATACTACGTAAAGCATTTCAAGAAGTAGATTAAGGGCAACATCAGTGCACTGAAATCCATCCAAAATAGTTCAATTTTAAGCATCTATAACTTCCTAGGCAGTATTAGGTTGTCAAGAGTCTCCTTAGTCACTAAAGCACTACGAATTTCCTAGGGCTTCCCCACTCTACGGACCTAGGACAAAAAACCTCTGCACTAAAGCAGTTTCAAGCATCACTTGATGGCTTGGCAGTAAGGATTGTTCTTCGGTGTTGGTAACCTATGGTAACAAGAGGTCACAAGTGCAGCCAAGAGTTACTAATTTATTATGTAATGGACTGTAGGAAAAGATGTCCATATCAGTTCTTTTATTCTATACTTCAGTATTGGTAAAGTCTCCATGGCCCAAAAAGGGAACATCAAATAAGACACCAGAGATAGGATTCAACCTTGACAGGATTATAAAAAGCAGAAATCCACACGTATGTTTTGGAAAGTAAATCAACAAAGCAAGGTTCTGTTGGCACCATGACTAATGTGTTGCGAGCACATCCAGTAATTAGAGTCCAAATATTGAAGAAAGACAAGTAAAACACTAGTATCTACATAAAAACTTACAATATCCCCAGTTGTGCCAGAATCTACAGAGATTGGTAGCTGCTTCAGAAACTGAGAATTACCATCATGGGGCAAGTCTTGAAGATCAATGGCTTCATTATTTTTAATGTCCCCCTCCTCTGTGTATATTTCCTTAGTCGAAGCAACTAGCAGGAATTGTTAGAAGTCTGGTTAATAAAGAAAAATCTCTACAAAACCAAAATGCTCATAATGCAACAAAATCAGGCAATTGAACTGCTTGTAATGCAACAACATGGAGTCATGATAAGAGTATGAGCAGGAAATATTGCAAGTGTCATTTTTTCTGGTGCATAAAGGAACATAAAACAGAAGAACAATACATGACAAATGCAACGACTTCAATAACAAACATTCAGAATACTTCACAGTTCTTCAACAATTAAAAATGCTCACTGAGAAACAAAACACTGAGAAATCTTTCACGACCATCTGCAAGCGTAGTTAACATAAGTGTAACTCAAGTGGGATTAGTTGCTTACCATGGCCATCCTGACATTTCTGAACACACTTGTCGAACTCTTCAGGTTGTTGAGAAACTGGGACATGGGAGTATGATTTTTTGGATATTACATTTGACTTTTGACACACACTAAGACAATTTGTTTCTCTTATAGAACTCATGTTTAGGTTGGTCTTCATTTTGAATGATGGCATTTGATCTATTTTTTTTATATGTGCCCCAATCTCGACTTGAAAAAATCAGTGAGGAATAAAACCCCTTTAGACAATCAAAGAACTCGCCGAGACTCTTGCAAAAGAAATAAGGAGGATATTAGTATAGACAGGGATGTGGAGAAGGTACGAGAAAAGGACAGATTATCATAAAAAAGAAATAATGCAAGATAACTTTAATGTGTCATGGGTGTGTGGGGGCAAGTGTGATAAGACAATAAAGGTGACAGAACTAAACACCACAATTTTTTTTTAGTGCCAATTAAACACCAAGCCCAGCAAAACTTTCCTAAAGCTAGCTCAAACTGCTGCCACTAACTAGCCGTAAAAGGAATAGCTCCGAGCACAATAAAAGCAACTTGCAGATCGGTAACTTTCAAAATTGCAGAATATGAGCTAGCAGTAATAAAAAGAGGCAGGTCCAGGACCAGCAGTGCTAAACGGAATCCCTGTCAACTGTAGTGATTTAAGGTCGCTACTTCCATATTTTTCAATAACCATTGATGCAAGATTCTGGAAAAACCCAGGTCAACACTTCAAAAGTTGATAAGCAAATCAGAGACTTAAAAGTGAGCTGGTTAACATTGATATTGCACAGAAAGAAAATAAAACTAGAAAAAACAGGGTTGACTGCCTTTCATGAACTTCCAGAAAAGATAAAAAGAAAGTACACAGCACCAAAATTCAATAGAAAAGCTAAACTTTGAGGCTGAAATACATCAAGGACGAGTTCTTTTGGTGATTAATACTCCTATATCACAGTTAAGGCCAGAAAGAGAAAGCTTTACCTTCTTCAATTGTAAAAGAATGAGTTTGAGGCCAGGAAGAGAAAGAGAAAGGGAGTCTACCCATATCACAAAACTCTCTCAAAGTCTATCCAGTCAAAACCCGTAAAAACACATCATAATTACACAAACAAAACCAAGAAAAGCCTGAAGATAAAAATTCACCTGAGAACGTTGACACTGAGAAAATAAATCAATTATGGAAACATACAAAGCCAAGAAAAAAAAAACCTGTGTGTCAAGATGCTAATAACTGAGAGACTTTCTCTCTCTAAAGCTCAAGAGTTTCAGTCTCTCTCTCTCTCTCTCTCTCTCTCTCTCTCTCTCTCTCTCTCTCTCTCTCTCTCTCTCTCTCTCTCTCTCTCTCTCTCTCTCTCTCTCTCTCTCTCTCTCTCTCTCTCTCTCTCTCTCTCTCTCTCTCTCTCTCTCTCTCTCTCTCTCTCTCTCTCTCTCTCTCTCTCTGATAATAAAGCAAAGACTTTCTTCTCTCCGATTAAATTATTTTTTAGTCCCTGTATTTTAATTGAATTCGAATTTAAGTCCTTTGTCTCTTGCCTATTGTCGTTTAAGACTTTCATCAGCTTTCCTCGAGATTCCTGCTATTTTTTATAAGAAATAAAAATGTGAGTGGTTTTATATAGCATGAGAAAACCAACGCATGGTGTTGTAATCCAATTTTGGGTCCCAGCATAAATATATATATATATATATAGAAAAATTAACGCATGGTGATGTAATCCAATTTTGGGTCCCCACATAAAAATATATATATATATATATATAGAAAAATAAAAAAAATAAAAAATAATTCAAAATAAAAATAATAATAATTAATTTAAAAATAATAACAGTAAAAAAAAAGATGTCAGAATGTTCAGAAAATGGTCAAAAATTAATTGAGGATGTCTACAATTACAAAGATTAAAATTTGGCAGTATTTTGTTAACTAATGAGAACCTTGTTGACAAAGAAAATTAATTTTAGGAAGAAAAATCCAAAATAAAATGTTTATGGATTCAATTAAATTTTAATAAAGGTTTAATTGAATTTATGGATGTTTTGATTGCAAGAAAATTTGATTTTTTAGTTAATTTGGGCTTTTATTAGAAGAAATTAAAGTTGTGGGGTCAAAATATAATTTAAAAAAGAAAGAGGAGGAGGCAGATACGAAGAGAGGGAGAAAAAGAAAGAGAGAAGGAAACCAAACACGAGAGAGAGGAGAGGAGA